CTGCTGTGATTCTGATGGGCTTTCCTTTGCATGTGATTTGTTTCTTTTCTCTCACTGCTTGTAGAATTTTGTTCTTCTGTTGGGTTTCTGGAATCCTAAATATTATATACCTATGTGTAGATTTTTATTGATCCAGGCTAGCTGGAGTCCTGTATGCCTGCCTCACTTATCTGTATGTCAAGTTCTTTTCTCCTGCTTGGGAAGTTTTCTGCCATCACTTCTGTGAACAGTTTTTTTTTTTATGTCATCTGCACGCTCTCCTGTTTCTTCATTGACTCCAATCAGTCTTATGTTATTCTTCTTTGCATTGTCTAGCAGCTGCTGGATTAGTTTCTCATGGTCCCTTACAATTTTAAAGCAATTTTTCTTTTCCTCCTCACTAATTGCAATCTCATCTTCTATATCTGAAATTCTATCCTCACATTGCTTCATTCTGCTGCGCAGACTTTCGATGGAGTTTTTAATCTCCTGGAAATCTGTTTGCATCTGCTTTATGGATTCCATTTGTTTCCTATGTTGGGATTCATCATGTTCCTCAGATCCTTTATTTTTTTATCTGTGTCCTCTCTAGATTTATTAATCATGTCTTGCACTATGAGCACAATCTTTGGTGTTATCTGAGTAATTATTTCTGATTTCATTTTTCCCCGATCCTCTTTTGTTGCCAGTTCAGAGAGTCCAGGTGATCAGATTGTTCCATCTCGTTTCCCTTTGCGGTTGCTGTAGGTGATCCGGTTGCTGTAGGTGATCCGGAAGTCTGTTTTTGAGGCTTGTTTACCTGTCTTCTCATTTCCACAGGGTGGGTGTGGTGCTTCTGGTGTGCCTCTGGCGCCTGTGCGGCTCACCTTCTCTGACCTGGGAGCATGGAGTGGTGGCGAGGGAGCCTCCTTCCAGGTGCTGGGACTGGCTCACCTTCTCTGCCCTAAGAGCGTGGAATGGAAGCGGGATAGCCTCCCTCTGGGTGCTGGGACTGGCTCACCTTCTCTGCCCTAGGAACATGGAATGGCGGCAGGGGAGCCTCCTTCCGAGTGCTGGGACTGGCTCAACAACAAATGTTTTTAAAAGTCAAGGAAAGCTGAATGTGATGGTGCACGCCTGTAATCCCAGTTCTCAGGAAGCTGAGGCAGGAGGATTTTTGTGAGATCAAGGCCAGTCTGAACTGCATAACAAGACCCTGTCTATAAATGAATGAATGAGTCCATGCATGTCATGGCAAAGAACTATATACATAAATAAAATTTAGACATTAAGTCAACTCATGATTTAAAAGCTAATTTTAGTTTTATATATATGCCTTAATTACTTTCTTCCTTTCCTGGGCGCAATACCCAACATCCCCAATTTAAAGGAGGAGAAGTTTATTTTGGCTCAGATTTTAGAAATTTTAGTTCTTTTGTAGTTGCAGGCTGAAGGAATAGAGGGTATGGCAGACTTGAAACCAGCAAAGTGAAGGAGGAGCTAGGGAGCTGTGCCTTCCACACTACATTCCTAGTGACCGCTTCTTAGGACTAGACTTCACCTCCTAATAGCTGATGAGCTGTGAGCCCCGTAATCTGATGACCTTCTAAAAGCATCACCCATGAGGACTTGAGGCTCTTGGGTACTTGTAGATATAAATCTTGATAATACACAAAAATGAAAGACATTTGCCCCTCAGTAAGTGGTTTATAATTTATCCAATTAATTTGGAGGGTTTCTTTCTGTTTTGAAGCTGCTGTGCCTTATTGGAGAATCATTTGATGACTACAGTGATGATGTGTGTGGAGCTGTTGTTAATGTTAGAGCTAAAGGTGATAAGATAGCAATATGGACTACTGAATGTGAGAACAGAGAGGCTGTTCAACATATAGGGTAAGTGTTTGCTCTTTTCCTGCCTTTTTTCACAATATTACCATAGTTAAAATGAGAAGTTGTCTTGTAGCTTGAGAAATGCTTGGATTTATAAGCCATTATTTTCTTTGTATTGTTTTCAAGAACACTTTATAATTTTGAACTCCTTTGGAGGTGCTTATTGACTTGTTCATATTGTTTTGATTTCTGTAAAATTGATGTTTCTTACCACTGGAGTATAAAAGTAGTAGAGAACCCTACTTTGGCATATTTAGCATTTTGCTCATTTATTAAATGAGTATTTAAGTATTTTTCCCGACTTTGAAAAGTGCTATTTCAAGAAGTGCTGCTTTGAAAAGGATGAATTATAAAACTCATAATATATAATTCAGTGAATATTGGCACATGATACAGTATATCTATTTTCATTATATCTATTTTTTTATTCATTGGCATTTAATACATCTTGTTTCTATTCCCACATTTAAAACTCACACATGTAGGTTTTTGAATTTTTGTTTTGGTGAATTCTGTTATTTGAAAAAATGACCTGTTATTTTTTCCCAAACCTCAGTGTTAGGATTTTCTTTTTATTTATTGCATTTAAATTCGTAAATCTTGACATTTTTTTGTCAATCATAGCTCACAAAATGTTTGATTTGATCCTTTGTGTGGTATTTCAAACATTATGAATTCTTCTGTGAAATTCCTTTCCAGATAAAAAAGTACAGGGAATGCCGGGCATGGTGGTGTATGCCTGTAATCCCAGCACTTGGGAGGGTGAGGCAGGAGGATCACTGCAAGTTCAAGGCCAGCCTGAACTACAAAGCAAGACCCTGTCTCAAAAAAAACCAAAAAAAAAAAAAAAAAGTACAAGGATTTCCCAGATTACATTCCTATGGGGGTTCTATAAGATAGTAATTGATTAGTCATCATATTCTTAATCTTTTTGTCAACATTTGTGTTAGTATTATGTTTTTGAAATCTCTATAAAAACATTTTGACATCAGTTTTTTCAAGGAAAAGGGTTTTTAACACCTCTAGTAAAACATATCTCAGTGCATTCAATGCTATAGTATCATACTGTAAATCTGATAGTAGCTATCACATAGTTAATAATTATTTTTAGATACCCTATTTGGAGGAAGTTAGTAAACTAGAGGATGAAGTATGAAAAAGGTATCCTACTGTCATTGTTAGGTGAATTAGCTTCATGAAAATGTGTGTTTCTTTGTTTGGTTTTACTGCTTGTTTTTAAATGTTTGCCCCCCCCCCCCACAAAAATTCAGGTTACTCAGGTGACATGAAGCTCTCTGTGACCTTTCCCTAGGACCTTGTCAGCCTTATATTCATTTATGATCATGGCCACATCCTTATTTTTCTCAGCCTTCAGATGTGCTGCATTCTTTTAACATAATTTTTCCCCCCTGTACTAGGGATCAAATTCAGGACTCTGCACTTGCTGGACAGGTGCGGCACCATTGAGCTAAATCCCTGGCCCAACATTGTAATTTTGTTCTCATAACTTTTTTTGAGGAAAATATTTATTGGTACATTTTAGATGTACATGATAACATTCATCATAGGAACTTTGTACCAGTACATGATGTATCTTTTTATTCCTGTCTGCCCTTTGACCCCCCCTCCCTTCCTTATATACAAAAGCTTTGTTTCTATTTTTTCCTTCAGTTTACTCTTTCCTTCTGCTTTCTTTCCTTTACCCCTCCCCCTTCCCCCCTCCCCTTGTTCCCCTTCTCATTTGAACATTTTCTTCCCATTTCCCAATGTCTGTTGTACATTTTAGTCCTTGTTTCCACTTCTGGTTTCTCACACCAGAGAAACAATGTGGTATTTAAATGTGTGTTCAGTGACCTCATAACTTTTACAGGGGAGCTTTCTCTCATATTGCAGATGAGATTAGATCTTCCAGTTTATGCAGTATCATAGCTTTTATATTTAATCCTGTTTGACACGTACCACATTTTCTTACAGTAGTCACATCTTAAGAAAATTGAGCTATAGACTTGGTGCACAAGGGAGAAATGTGTATAAGGTAGAAATTATGTATCTTCTAAATTATCCTGAAAATACTGTGAACATTCCTTCAGAGTATTTAGTTTTCACAAGTGCAATCTTGGTATTGGAAATGATAAGTGTAATTGTGTGGTAACATACAGTATGTCAGATCAAAGAGTGAAAACAGATGTGTGCATGCTACTTATTTTTATGTAAGTTATGTATGCACATAATACAGCTTCATCATATGTATTTGCAATTGCTTGTTTTCCCTACTGAATTATACATTTGCCATAAGTTTTCAGGGACTGCCCCTGCTTTGCCCACTACTGATTTGCTAATAATTATCATAATACTTGACACATACCTGATTGGATCTCAGATATTTGTTACATGATTAAGTTGTGAAAATAAAGGGTAAATTATGCTAAAATGAAAAAGTGTAGTTTTCTCTTTTACTCTTGAGTGTAGGTATTTTTTATATAAAGACTAATAATGGTGAGTTCTTAAATCATTTTTTGGTAGATAAAAATTAATGTCCACTTCTTTGTCTTCTAGGAGAGTATACAAGGAAAGGTTAGGACTTCCTCCAAAGATAGTGATTGGTTATCAGTCCCATGCTGACACAGCTACTAAGAGCGGCTCCACCACTAAAAATAGATTTGTTGTTTAAGAAGACACCTTCTGAGTATTCTCATAGGAGACTG